TTTTAAATCTTGGTTGCAACAGGTTAGCTTTTTTGTATATGATGGGTGTTATTATGAGTTACACTGGGATATTATAGTGGATAGTTAACTAATATGGAGATTGCACTTTACACCGAAGGTACTCATGACTTGTCTACTAGCATCACAAGTATAGTGAACTTTACTTTTGTATTAACTGAATTGTGGTTTTGACTCAATAGGTTCCTTCATGCTTGTCCACTGTGTCTTTAATGACTATGATGTCTAATATCACACTGTAGTGGCACATAAGTTGATTGTTAGGTGGAGTAATGTGGTCATTTGTTTGTTGAGTATATATGAATATGTTGATGTGTGGGTATCATTTCTGGAAACCCTCACGAGGACTTTACTCGTCCACTTGGGGTAACCTTGTGGTTTAAAGGCTTGTTGATATGCTAAATGCAACCGTTTTCCCACGAAAGAGGAAATAGATAGATTTTGTTTAATTTTATTTTATTTTACTTGCTTGAGGACTAGCAAGTAGTAAGTTGGGGATGTGATTAAGGCCGAAATGTACATCATTGAGGCCGTTAATTAGAATCTCTTAACTTCACTTGCTGGTCAAACCGTATATTTTATGTGTGTTGAGTGTCAATCAGGTTATACATCGTCGGAGCATAAAATGAGCAAAAAGACAGAATTTGCAGAGTTGACTTTCCCGCACGTGCGTTGACTTTCCGCACGTGCGTTGACTTTTCCCGCACGTGCGTTGACTTTTCCTGGGAAAGTCAAACCGACGTTTTAAACCTGTTTGGACGAGATTGGAAGGATAAAAAGAGGAGAAAAAGGCTGGATTAGGGTTCTGAAATTGTTTGGACCTAAAGAGGGAGGCTAGGGTTTGCAAAAGAGGAAGAAACAAAAAGCTTCAAGGAAGTCTCCATGGTGATTCCTTCTCTTTCTACTTCCTTCCACTCCTCCATGAGTGGCAGTTCTTCTTTTCTAGGGTTTTGATGAAACCCTAGCCATGTAATTATTTAGTTTTCTTTTTGATTTTTAATTATGTAAAGGTTTGAACATTTGTATGGTGATTTAGAAGTTTCTTATATATATTTTTCATTATCTCTTCAAATATTTGACTTTTTGTGATTGTTGAATGTTATCCATACATGAGTTTTCTATTCCTTCACATTCAAGGTATGGGACGAACCATGCTACGAGGAACGAGTCGTATCACTACCTTAGTTTAGAGTGAACGATTCGTATTGCTTGAGATGGTTCGTGCTCGTACATTGAATGTGATGATCTTCTTGTTAAATGCTTTGAGCTTGTAGTTGTGAAGCATTAATTCGTTCAAACCATAGCATAATTAATTTCAATTGGAAACCCTAATTATGTGGTTAGTGGTGAATTCTCTACCCTAGGATTTTTTCCCAATTTAGTAAATCCAATTTCATTTATTATTGATAATTTAATTCCTTAGTTTAATTTATTTGTTATTAAATTAGGTTATGATCATTCAATCTTTTTATCAAAATTAATTTAGGAATTTAACAATTAAATTAGTTTAATTTCACAATAGTCCCTGTGGATCGATACCTGGACTTGCCATTATTCTGATAGAATTTGGTATAGTTTAGTATTTAATTTTGGTGTGTTCAACGACCAACCAATATATCAAGTGAAGAATATGTGGGAAAATATCAGATAGGTTTATCTAACATGGAAAAATAGTTGCTTAACTTCTCCTCATTGTGTTCATAGTCTAGTTGACTGGGACCCTTTAGTATTTTTAAAAGCTGCCATCTACCTAAAGGAGAATGAGTAAAAAGTCTCCCTTTTCTTCAAACACAAAGACTAAACCAAACATGGTTTCTGTGATAAAAAATAATAATAATACAATTTTTACACCTATCTAACTAAATGCAGATGATCTTAAAAATCAAAATAAAAAGTAAAAATCAATTTTTACTAGAAATTATTGTTCTGGCACAAGAAAGCCAAACAAATAGAAACTATTTTTATGAACCTTCATTACAGCTAGATTGGTATCAATGCCCTCCACTTTTACTTGGTCCACAGTTGTTTGTGCAGCTTGTGCCCTTTCCGTGTTCCGCTTGGAATGTTTCACTGCGTTTTCTAATGGATTTATTTCACCAATGCAAACATCTATAGCTGCATCAAACGCTTCCCCATCAACATCTTTCCAGTGTTCTGATATAAGCCCAAATCTGTGTAGTGTCAAAACTGGAACTGGGAGTTTCAACCCTTGTTTTGCATTTAAAACCCCAATTGAATCGCGTTGGCAAGTGCTGGCATTCAAAAGCGCCAAACGAATTGATAGAGTTTCCAAGATCACATCTTTCCCCGGAAGACTTTCAGCCAAGTTAAAACATAGTAAGGTTCTGTAATGGGATGAGAAGGTACGAAACGCTTCTCTCACCGCACGATATCGAAAAATACCTAGGATTGCCCTTGCAAGTGCTTCAGATTGTTGAGTCCCTTTGAGATTATACTTCTTAATGAACCTGTGAGCACGGAGGATCTCAAGACAGACATCCAACCAGTAGTCCCGTCGTGAATTGCTTTTGAATTCAGGAAACTCCAAATAAACAGGCTCTGCTCTGTATAAAAATTTAGTCAAAATCTCAAGATTTGTACCAGTATGCAAGTTTCAAACAAATAAATGTAAACAGAAAACATACATAGATGTTGATTTGTACATCACAGCTTTGTAAAGAGACGAGCACCCAATGGTCTGGTTAATTCAGGCCTTATGACCTGCTTCATGTCCATTGCCAATTCATATCTGACAGCTTTGTCATATAAACCAACTCCCAAAGACTCAAAGTACAGCGCATAATTGGTCAGTGTCAACCGCCCTGCCAAATAGATAAATTTTAAAAATAACAAACACATTCCAGAGAGGATAATGATGAAAACATACTGTCAGAGCCTGGCAACAAAGTTCAACACTTGAATCAGCCATTGACTAGGTTGTGTAGACTCAACAATTGTTTCATGTAAATACTTTATGCTTCTGTATCGTAGATTAGATATGCAGCATTGAACTACAATGAACACAAGAATTTAGGATGACAAGGTGTCACAGGCCGACTCTTTTGAATGCACAGCAGAATATATTTTTGCCAGTGATGCGCTTGAACTCCAAGATCGCCAAGACGCCTCTTGCCACACAACTGCACACCTTAATGTTATCAGCAGTGTTGCCCACAATTGAGCCACTTAAGGTTCCCAACTGTGTGCTAGCATAAGCCCTCGACCTAGCTAACAAGCTTCCAACGCATGTTAAGGTCTCTTGTTGCGCACATCTCGAATAGTCACGAGGCTCTCCTGTACCCCACACATGACTATAGGTCACTTGCGCACCCACAACATAGTCCTCGTGCATGCTTGACATGCTAACCGTCTACCAAGGGCCATTGCGCACCCAAGGCCATTGCGCACCCAAGGCGTTGCACTAACGTGTTGCACGAGAAAGGCAACATTGGTACGTAGCCCACAAGTAGCATTACACCTTCCCACAAGCTTAGCACAAGGTGCGTCGCATGACATAGAGCTTCATGCCTTTCAAATTAATATTCCCATGAGTAGTGGCGTTGCCATCGAACAACTTACTTTAAGCCACAAGACCCCCACGAGCATGGCCAAATCCAAGCGTATGTTGTGACTCGTGATTTGGCACACGAGGCTTTGTTGGCACCTCGATAGCCCATTCGGTTTAGGATGACAACCCAAGATGCTACAATAACGGGTGCGTGTCCCAAATCTTGCGCCAAGGAGGTGTGCATAGTGTCGGCATACATGCCCTTTGATGATACTGTCCACGGGGCTTCCAAAACCATATGGAGACCAAAGACGCCGCTGTGGATGCCAAAGTCCGGCCCTATGGATGCCAAAGTCCGGCCCCCAAGTTGCCTTGAGGTTGCCCACTTCGAATAAGGAGACAAGTAGAAGCACACCTTACACCCTTATAATAGTATTTTGAGTCATTTGTTGACTAAGAAAAAGAAACACCACTCTTGTTTGAGGAGTCATAAAGATTTTTCATTAATTTCACAGATTATGAAAAATCACAATTTTAAATTGTAGAAACTACAAATTTTTTTTTTTTGATCGGCAAAGAAAAATCTTTATTGATGAAAGTATGCAAAAAGGATACAGAACATCAATAAAGAGGAGCTTGGAGCTAACTGAAGCTCCAAGCACCAGTTGGTGAGAAACCAACAAACAATAGAAAACAAACAAAAATAAAAGAAAGCAGACCAACTAAGCTTCACCCAAACTCCAAAGAAGAGAAGCAGAGCAGACTGCAGATCAGCTTATTGCACTGAGAATAAACACCAATAACGGAGCAGACTCCACCAAAATCTGTATGGAACAAAACAGCACCAAAATCTGTTCAGGAACATAGGGAAATCAAGAAAAGAACCACCAAAAACCAGTAACTGGGCTTGAGACACCACTGCTGAATGGGGCAGCACCGCAGAACAACTGCTGTTGCACGGCCAGGAAGAAATAGAGTGAAGCCCAGTGACTAAAACAGATAGAGAGACTTGGATCAATTTCCACACTTCAAAATGAGGCAGCACTGCAGAACTTTACAACACAGATTCAGATAAAAAAAATTACAGTACACAGATTCATAGCACTTGCTAGTTTGAAATGGAGCACACTGTAGGACTTCACCACACAGATTCAGAGCAACCCTGTCTACAACCCTGCCTACACATCACAAGCTGACAAAGCTAGACCAGCAGTAAGCAAACAACTCTGCCAATTGCAGTCCTCACTGAATGAAGTCATTAGGAACCCAGACTAAACAGCACTTAACACAGCTTCCCTGCATCCAAATGACTATACCTCTGCTAACACAGCACGAGCTCACAAGGCCAGACCAGCAGTAAAAATTGGAACAGAGTTGCACCAATACAAACCAACACAATACACACTTCAGAACACTGGCTACAGCTATTCAACAACACACAGAATGCAGATATTCACCCAAGCTACCACTACAAATCCACAACAGACCCAAGAGCATCAGCAGTTCAACACCTACCAACTACCACTACATATCAGCAACAAACCCACCCAAGCACCTCCTAATTTGCCTCAAATTAGTAATAAAATCCTGCTCAGAAAAATGGAAATCCCTGAGGTGTGGTTTTACCCAATAAGCAATCCTATACTTAATTAACTCACAGAGATCCTCTTCATTTGGTACTTTTGCTCTGAAAACACAGTCATTCCTGCATCTCCAGACTGACCACATCACTGCCAAAGGAATTGCCCCTCAAATCATCATTTCTTTCTTCTTTAGCTTCCTCCCTGCCCACCACAGAAGAAGACTGTCCACAGTCCATGGCAATGCAGTTTGGATATCCCACCACTTTAACATTCTAGCCCAGATCTTCCACACAAAGGGACACCAAATCAAGACATGGTTCACTGATTCACTACCACTATTACAGAACACACAGTTTGTAGGGTCATTAGGTCTGATCACACCCAATTTTTGTAGGAACTCTCTTGTCTTGATTCTCCCTTTCCAAGCAAACCACCCAAGCACCTGCACCTTTGGAGGGACATATTTGAGCCAAATCAATTTAGTTGTATTTAGGGTGGCACCAGCATTACCTACAACAAACTTTTGCAGATCTGCAACTTTTAGGACCCCATGAGTTGAAGCTGACCAAACAGGTTGATCTGTACCCTCTACACATACAGCAAGCGCTGCCACCAGAATATTATTAAGCCTAACCAATTCCAGCACCTCCCATTCATAAAGTTCTCTTCTAAAAGCAAAGGACCAATCACCTGCTGTGGTTTTCTTTATAGAAACTACATAACTCCATGAATTCCCAATAAAAATCTGATCTCAAAACTCCATTGTTTGACCCCCCAAAACCCTATGCCAAAGGTTTAGCCACAATGTCTCACCGAGTCGCCTAACATGCACCACATACAGATTGGGTGGGCACACATAGTGCTCGGCATGCAACTCGATATGCACACATTGGAATACTTGGGGCCTATGAAGCACCGACACTGCAAAATAAATGTTGTACCGGTGTTGGACACGAGGACATGTATGGGACACGCGGCATGCCACATTATTTAATTAATTTGCTTTCAAGAGACACGCTGGGAACACTGAAGGAAACACCAACTAGTTCCCCCCCACCATTTTCTTTAACTTTTTTGATGGATGTGAGATGTTGAATGTTATTACCTTTTGCTTAGATTTAAATACTTAATAGAGCATCCATAAAAAAATATATAAAAATGATAAGTGTCAATTTAAAAGTGATTTTTTTAAATATCAAACAAACTAATTTTAGTTTTTGTTAACTTCGATTGTTTATGGATATAATATTAATCTACATAAAAATATATGAAAAAAATATTTTATTGCTGTGTTCCCGTTGTGTCCGTGTCCCTATTTTTTTGAAATCACCATGTCCGTATCCATGCTCGTGCTCGTGCCTGTGCCTGTGTCCATATCCATGCTTCTTAGCTTAGGGCCATCCTTCCAAGAGACATTGGGGCGTCAAATCATTTTGACTTGGAATCTCGATGCCACACGCATGGGCACTTCCAAAGACCTTGACGAAGCACTCCAAAGGTCACCACATATGCAAGCATCACGGGGTTGGACTACAAAGGTCAACTGACACAAGGCCAAGCCATCTTAGGTAGACTGAACTCAATATTTGAATTGTTCCCTTAAATTTTATGGAGGACAATTCTAATCATCTCATTGTCACAATGGAACAGATCATCTGGTATCAGTACAAAACTCATTGAGACAATGTCTCCATAATGAGCAATAATTATATTCATGAGCATATCAATGAGACTGATCTTCATAGCACACAGTCAGAGTGGGCTACAGAGTCATATTTGAATAGCTATATAACAATAGCCAAGTTAAAACCAATCTCACAAAAGGTTTGATCAAATTACAATCATAAATGAAGGACTCACCAGGCCATGCTGATATTCCAATATGTTGCAGAACTGGTTATGTGGGAACTGTACCATCAACATCTAAAATGAACTTGATGATACAGCGGGTTCCAGATGGAATGGGTCGGACTGATCCACGCTCCTCAAGCCTGTGTCCGAATGACCAAGTCCACCAGAAGACCTGCACAAGAGTTCAACGGGGAACGGGAAGTCCCCTAGCGAACCCTCTGACGAGCAAGTTAGAGAGAGAGGTGGAAGGTAGAGAAAGATTAGAGTTAGAAAAGCTTAACCTTCTTCTTGTCTTTGACGTTTGCTTATATCCTCTAGTAATCATTTCGTTGTCCCCTCTGACCTGTCACCTTGGCCGAAAGTCTATGGTCTAACTTACCTTGTTCATGGTGAAGGCGTTCTGTCCTGACGGAGAGGGGTTATCGCAATAAATGCTGTAAAGGGCTTCATTAATGGCGATGTGCAGTGACAATAACTTTGCAGATCTTTGTCTGCTTATGTGGCTTGCCCTTCTCTTGCCATGTGTCTTGATGTCATTGGTTCTCATTGCTACTTGGGGCTTCAGCAATGCTGGGCTTTAGTATTTGAGTTATGTATTGGGCCCTAAATGGTGGGCTATAATCTTTATGGGCCTACCCATGTCAGAACTCACCCTCAGCAAGCTGAAGGTTGGATGCAGATTGAGGCCCCAGTGTACTTTTCAATGCTTTGATTACCCTGCAATAAAAATAGGAGCAATTGACTTGAGTATTCAATCAGAATCGTCTTATTATCCTTGAACTCTTGTCTATCTCTTCTTTTCTCTTCCAGATTTAGTTTTTAGTACAACAAAGTATACCAAATAAATATTTGTTCCCAAGGATTAATTAAAAAGAACAAACATGCCTTTAATATAGTCAATATGAAGATTGCTTAAGCAATTAATTTATACCAAACCTAAATTTATTTTATTTTGTAGATATACCAAACCTAAAATATGTAGTCCTCAAAGAACAAAATTTTCTATTGTTTCCATCAAAACGACAGACTCGTTTCCATTTCTTAAGAGACCAAAACCAAACACAATCAGATAACATTATTACAACGTTTCCACCAAAAGAAAGAACTCATCAAAAGACAACGAAACATAGTGAAATAATAACTTGCGATGACACAAATTTAGAATCTTTCAGAGATGTTTTTACAGATAGTAAATTTTTAAGGGAAAAAAAGAGATAAAATGTCTTATTTTACTATATTAATAAGAGTTATTATAATAATATTAGTATAGTAATAATATTTTACTTACAAAAAATATGAATATAGAAATACTATTATCATTACTATCTTAGTAAATTTGTTTAATCTTATTTTGTTGGAATCTCACACAGTAACAGAATTATATGTACTTGTATTTGATAAACTCAATATATTTGACAAAACTTCAACAAATTTTTGTTCATGGCAACATTTACTTTTTAATTTTACATTTGTTCCTTATGTGAATCTAAAAGTCTAAATATGTTTAATTAATCAATTATTAGGCTTTTATACATTTAGATAAGTTTTATTTTGTGTTTTAAATGTTTTCATGTATGTTCAATTTCTTTTCTTATTTTTTGAAACGCTTCCAAAATGTTTCCATTTCCATGCTAACTGAAACAATACATTAAAACGAAATTTTGATCCTAGGTGGTCCTTGACGACTAAGAGGATTGAACAAAAAGTTTCTAGCCATGCATAAAAAATAATCAACCTCATCCAAACAAGAGAACTGAAAAGGTTCTTGAAGGTGCACCGTAAGATTCGATAACACCTGATGCATAAAAATTTTGATCCTGGATTATTAGAGTTACTACAAACGAATTAAGACATCCAAAGAAGACCCTGAAAGTATGGGGTTAAGGTGGCAAGTGTCAGTACAAGCTACACCCAAATAATTCACGAATTCCACTGAACCCCACTTCTGCATCCGCACCCAATGGTTCCCAACCAAACAAAAAAAAAAACTTGCACTTAAACAAGTGTTCTTAGCTCGAGGAGCTGACCATACTTCTCAAGTGTTCGAAGGTACTTGTCATATATGAGAAAATGAAGTCGATGACCAGAAGAACTAGTCAGTGCATCAAAAAGATTGTGGACAGTGATTATATCTGCAATAACAGCACAGGCAGGAGCTATCCGTGCAAAAGCCTCTGTCCCAACAGTCTTCTTGTCATCAACCTGATGAAAAGTGAAATGAATGAGCACACAAGACCGACACAACAAACTGCTAAGGATTTACCCTAAACCAACTTACCCAAAAGAAAGAGTTACCCTACACCAAATATTACCGTCAGTGAAAAAAGGCCTTATATTTTTAAAGCAACAAAATAAAAATGAGAAGACCACCTGAACAGCCATTTTTGTGGAACTAGAATAAAATAATGACCACCCATCCTCATCCTCCACTTCCTGGTTACTGCAAGAAGCAGTTTCCTGTCATTGGGAAAAGTTAAGGCTGCATTTACAATCCAGAAATGAAAAAACATTTTCATTCCATACTCTGAAATTCCTAACAAACAATCAAGAAAAGGCACCACTAACAATATGAAACATTAAAAGTTCGCCAAAATATTCAGAGAAAATATGATAGGTTTCCTACTGTGTCTGGGAAACACGCCTAGGAATTATGAAAGTGTGTTAGAAAACACGCCTTTACTTAAGAAAGCGCTGTTAGCGCTTTCAGCATATTTCTGGCCCAGGCAATGGAATTATGAATGCGTGGTTAGAAAATACGCCTTTACTTAAGAAAGCGCTGTTACTATGAACGCTTTCAAGTAATGATAGCACGATTTGGAAACACGCTTTTGTAACGCCCTCAAAATAACAACAATAACCCATTGGATAAGACATGCATTTACATACAAACCATCCACATTCCTTTATTTATTAGAGTTACATATACATATGTATTACATGTTAACATCAAAACAAAATGCCCTACGGGCTTACAGCTTTCCAAGTTAACACTTGGTTACAACAAAAGGGTACTAACTCGTTTACACATTAAGCCCTTGGCTTGAAGTTACATGTAATACATCAAAAGTTAAGCGACAAAACATGTCCGCCACTGGCCTCCCAGCTATGTTCTTGGAGGTGGCATGCTTCCTGTACCTGAAAATGATATTCCCATATAGGGTGAGCCACAGCCCAGTAGAAATACACTAAACCAACCATGAACAATGACTAAAAGATTAGCAATTGATAGATGGCCAACACTGATACAAACACATAAATCATCTATTTATGTCATACGACTTATAAGTCCAAGTTTCCTTTCATTTTCCCTTTTTCAACAGATAAGCATGCTAGCTCTATCATCATTTCCACAGATATGTATAAGATCTATATCTCACATTCAGATATGCATAAAAGCTATATCCACATTCTACAACAGATATGTATAACAACAATATCCACAGATAAGCATATAAGCTATATCCACATTCTACAACAGATATGTATAACAACAATATCCACAGATAAGAGATAAGCATATAAGCTATATCCACACTTCACAAAGATAAGCATATGAGCTCTATCTTCACTTCTCTAGACAAGCATATGAGCTCTGTCAACACATTACTAGATAAGCATATGAGCTCTATCTTCACTTCTCTAGACAAGCATATGAGCTCTGTCAACACATTACTAGATAAGCATATGAGCTCTATCTTCACTTCTCTAGACAAGCATATGAGCTCTGTCAACACATTACTAGATAAGCATATGAGCTCTATCTTCACTTCTCTAGACAAGCATATGAGCTCTGTCAACACATTACTAGATAAGCATATGAGCTCTATCTTCACTTCTCTAGACAAGCATATGAGCTCTGTCAACACATTACTAGATAAGCATATGAGCTCTATCTTCACTTCTCTAGACAAGCATATGAGCTCTGTCAACACATTACTAGATAAGCATATGAGCTCTATCTTCACTTCTCTAGACAAGCATATGAGCTCTGTCAACACATTACTAGATAAGCATATGAGCTCTATCTTCACTTCTCTAGACAAGCATATGAGCTCTGTCAACACATTACTAGATAAGCATATGAGCTCTATCTTCACTTCTCTAGACAAGCATATGAGCTCTGTCAACACATTACTAGATGAAGTCCATAGTGACATGCTCCCACTTCCACTCGGCAATAGGCAAGGGTTGCAACAAACCCGCTGGCCTCTGATGCTCGGCCTTCACTTGCTGGCAAGTAAGGCACCTCGATACGAAAAAAGCCACATCTCTCTTCATACCCCGCCACCAAAACTGGCGACCCAAATCCTTCAGATTAAAATGAAGCCCTCGACGATCAACAACTTTTTTGTAAAGGCCAAAGGTGAGTAAATCACTCCTACTAGATCAAAACCTAGAGAGAAGGTATAGTCTAGAGTGAGAGGCTCAACAATGGTGATTTTGGAAAAGTAAGAGAGAGAAGAGAAAGTGAAAAAGTGATTTGAAAAGTCACAATTTCGGGACTTAAACCCAGTCTTCAGCTCGAGCGTAAAACACCCCGCTCGAGCGGCCACTCACAGACTTACGCTCGAGCGGATAACCTCACGCTCGAGCGCAGAATGCACTCGCTCAGCACTTATGCAGAACCAGACCTACGCTCGAGCTCCCAACCCTACGCTCGAGCGTACAACACTGCACAACAAATACTGGATGGGTGTATTTCACGCTCGAGCGCTAACATCTCCGCTCGAGCGGACAGGCCAAAAATCTGGGCAACTAGTTTTGGTTTCTAAACTCAACCAACCTGAAACAAAACCGCCCAACACATCCTATAACTCAAACACGAAGTAAAAAGGATGTAAACAAGATAATAAACAACTACTAACATCCACGGACACTTGTCCGGATCTCTGTACAACAAGGGTAAACCCGGGATCGCTATAGCTTTTAACAGAAACCCGTTATGAAATGGCTCACCCCCCTCATTTGCAACCACGCTTTCTCCCTCCTCTCTTTCTTTTCTCCCAAAACCCCAACCAGAGGCAACCTTCCTCCCTCTCTCTGTTGCTCTCTGCTTTCTCTCTCTCTCTGGGTCACTCACAGTCACTCTCCCTCTCTCTGTCGCTCTCTGCTTTCTCTCTATGTCTCTAGGTCGCTTATAGTGACTCTCCCTCTCTCTGTCGCTCGCTGCACCATCCTCTCTCTTTCTGAGCTCATCTCTCTCACAGGTATGTGGCACTGTCTCTCTCTCTCTTTCTCTCTCTCTCTCTCTCTCACAGTTTGAATTTTATTTATGTTGATTTTGCTTGTGAAAATGCGAATGTGGGTAGAATAGTGAGAGAGGAAGTTTGGAAGATACCAATGTGGGTAAGGGCTAGGGTTCTGTGAATTCAAATTGGGGTTTTGAGAGAGTTAGGGCTAGGGTTCTGTGAATTCAATCCAATGGTACATAGCTTATGCCAAAGTGATAATCAATTTTTTCCAAAGAAATGTGAATTCAATCCAGTGGTACCCCATTTTTTTGAGATGTATTATAGAGCTTTTCTAAATTATTTATATATTATACTTTCATCATGCAAATCTTTGATAACAACTAAATAATGATGGTGAGATTTAAATGAGGAGAAAGAACCCAATCTAAGGTAATGAGAGGATTTGATAATAAATTGGAAAATATGAGCACCTTTGTAAGGTGACAATGTAAACAAAAGTAGGGCGATAATGGATTGAAAAAAAATACATTTGAAGGCCAAACATTTTATGAATGCTGAAGCATGGTCGGAGTGTTTCATTGTGAAAAGGAAATACATTTGAGTTTGTGGTTACTCCTCTTATATTGCCACTTTGGCACTGTCTTATCTTTGCCTAACAGTGTCCACATTCCCCTGGAAAATAAGATGCATGGGTTCATGGGCTAAAATTAGTTCACTGTAATTCTCATCAGAAAGCATGTTGCAGTGCCTTATTGCTCCCCATTTACCCTCAGATAGCAAATCACTGGGACAACACTTCTTTTAGGAGTTGAAGGCTTTATTCTATTATTTGCAGGATTATTTCACCAAGTATTACATGCTCATTCTAAACCAATTTTATTTAGGATGCCCTTGTGGAAGATAATAAATTGCAAGACTTGATGACTATTATTGCTAAGTTATTGGTAGATTAAGAAGCTGTGAATGGCATGCTTATTTACCAGATTCTGGTTTTTATTTTTGGATAGAGATCTTATTTATTCACATGTTTTAAACCTGCCCTTTAAATCCTTCTCATGAAAGTGATATGGAAAGGAGCATGGTGTAATTACAGATCTTTTGTGAGCTGAAAGTTCTTTACATCTAAATGAGATAGATGCAGGAAACTTGTTCTGTATTTTAGTTAATTGCAAGAAAGAGGAATAGGTAAACGATTATTGTAATAGTTTGAAAGGAAAGTTGAATTTTAAAAGGAAGTCACTTGGGATAAATGTGATGTCAGAATAGTGTATATTTTCTTTCTACATCTCTAGTAGTTTTAAATTTTTATTCTAAAGACCACAGTGTCCTATACTTTCATAGTCTTCATATTTTTATGTGAATCTTTGTTCATTATATTTCTCTGCTATAGGAATTCTTAAACTAAATGATACACTGAAACATTTTCTTCCTTCAAATTTTAGAATGAGATTTTCGTCTAATAACTTCATAGTTCGAGAATACTTCTGAATGCTGGACTTTTTTTTTTTTGGTTTCCATTTATTAGGAAACTGAATATTTCCTCATTGAGTGGTTTTTGGTTGATAGCCTATTTTAAATGAAGGAAGTTCTTCCCTCTTTTTGACTAAACAAATTATTTGCCATTTTTTAACACATTAACTTAAGGACACTCGTCAAATTTAAAAAACTTGATTCATGTGTTGTTGGTACGACTCTGAGCATCTCTAGTATCAATCATGAAATTTAGAATTGCATTAAAGAACACAATTTGTTTACTTGTGTTAGCTTGCGCAACTCTCAATAGGCTTCAATGCTATCATCATCTCCTAAAGATACATAAGAGTATTGGGAGTGGAATATGTATACTTCTGTGTATGTTTATATTTTGTCTAGTCAAACAATTTCTCTCTGTCTTTACAAGTTCTCTATCAAACTTTCAAGAAATTACACTTTATATACTTTTTACTTTTTTTTCACTATAAAATGTCATAATAAAAATTGCAAAGTATCATAACAAAAATCACAAAGTATCATAACATTATCATCCCTAACTTTAGAGTGCATATCATAAATTTATTATTCATAATTTTACCACAAAATATCATAACATACATTACAGATAATCATAATTTTTAACATAAAAAATCATAATTTTTATCATAAAAAATCATAATTTTTTTTATAATGTACATCTTTTTAAAAGGTGCATCACTACAAACAAAGTGAATAATATCAAATTTATTAATATTTTTATCATACACTGTTTTTATTTGAAACGAACAAATGTATATATAAGTCTTTTGATCAAAAGAAACATAACTAAACACAGACATAAGAACACATACAATGGTGTCCATACGATTACATATTTCAACTTTTTCAAGAAAATGTAAAGTAAATACAAAAATTTTTATTCAAATTTGACATCCCACGTTAAAAAAAACAAATTTTTTTTTTTTGGACATCCTAAGCCCAAAATGCGGTGTCTTTCATTAATATGACCAAAATATGCCAAATCAAATTGTATGAAATTTTTATATAAAATTTTATTTTTATATGTAAAAAATGATATTTATCATAAAATAAATATTTTTAATCTTTTAACCTTCCAATCCACATCAAAATGCCAAGTCCATAAGTACGGAGATTCTTTCTGGTTGGAAATCACAACTAGAGTTGGGTCTCTATGAGCTCACCACAGGATCACTTCATTATCTAAATCGTTTATCTTCTAAGGCTCTCTAACAGATTATCCATGCCAAATCAGGTTGATCAAATAATTATAATCACACGATCGATTCATATTTATTTTCAAAAAAAATACATGGCAAGTATAATTTTGAAAGCAGACTGTCCATTGTTTTGAGGACAAATGTGATATCATCACGTGATTACAATTATTCGATCAATCTAATTTTTTTACATAAATTGTCTACTCAAAAGTTCTTAAAAGTTGAACGGTTCAAATCATATGACAGCCCATAGAGGCCCAATTTACAAACTACAAAGAATCTCCATCTTATGCATGACTCATTAGTTCACATTATTGGAGTCAGACAAGGCACCCATCCATGCTGGTGGCAACATTCCAGTTTGCTCATGAACAGTCTTAAACAATGGTGGCAACATCCTATAAACACCAGAAACCTCCTTCATAGCACCACTATCACTACCCTTACCACCACCACCATTAGTCCAAATACTAATTTTAGGAGGTAGCCCATGAACCGCCTCGCCATTAATCTTGGCAATCTCCTAAAACATCCCCACCATTGATCATCAAGTAATCTCTAAGAGCATTGTAATTCCTTCCCAACGCGTCCAAAAGCGTAAGTATGTAAACCCCTTGGGCTTGTGCGAGCGCTTCAAGCCCTGCAACTTCTTTTTGTTTAGCATATAATTCTCCATCGACGAGTTGTTGGTGGGCATAGAAAGCGGCCTTAGCCGTGGCTTTGTGGGCCTGGGCCTCTTTCTCTTTTGTCGTACAGAATTGCTTCGGCTGCTTTTTATATGTTGTAGAGCTCCCCGTTTGCCTCTTGTACCTTTGTTTTTCATCAAAATGGTTAATTCCAAGTTTTTTGCAGAATGTTAATTTGATATTAGTGAAATAAATGAAAAATGATATACAAGTACAATTTCTAGACTCATTATGTTTAAATGATATGATTGGTTGATAATAAAAAAAAAGATGAGAGAAAGTGTTGCATGATGATACGGAAATTTTAATGAAAATTCTAATCATACCAAAATTTTCAGACAAAATTAATGATGTACCTGTTTCACTCAACAAAGTGACATGATATAACTGTTTTACTCAATTTTTTTTAGGTATAAAAATATAGCGATCCCGGTTTCCCTTTTCTTTACTTGTTATATTCGGACTTAGGTTCCGTGGATCCTGTCATTATATATTGGTTGTTGTTGTCCTTTACTCTCTTTGTATTTTGAGTTATAGGATGTGTTGGGCGGGTCTGTTACAGGTCGGTTGAGTTTAGATGCCAAAACTAGTTGCCCAGATTTTGACCTGTCCGCTCGAGCGTGGATTCTGTTGTTGCTTGTCCGCTCGAGCGGGGGTTTTGGTGCTCGAGCGGGATTTTCACCCATCCAGTATTTCCTGTGCAGTGTTGGACGCTCGAGTGTGGGATCGGACGCTCGAGCGGAAGTATGTGAGTGCCACTCGAGCGGGGAGTTAGACGCTCGAGCGGGGAACTGGTTCTGCAAAAGTACTGGGAGTGCGTATTCGACGCTTGAACGGGAGTTTGGACGCTCGAGCGGAGAGTCGACTATATCAGTCCGAGATTTCACTTTTTGGATCACTTTTTGACCTACTTTTTCTTTCTTAACTTTTAAAAACCGCCCCTTGAGAGTCTCTCTCTCTCTCTCTCTCTCTAAACTTGTCTTCTCTCTAAGAATTGATCTACCTAGGGTGAGTATCTAACCTTGGTCCTTTATTAAAGAGTTAGAGTGGGTTGAGGGCTTCGATTTAATCTGAGAAACTTGGGATTTGGAGCACGTAGGTCTTTGGTCATCTTCTCCATTCGAGTTCTTCACTTCGAGGTAGGGATTTCCTACTCCATCTTATAAGTTTTGTTCAAAGTTTTGTATTTTGATATGTTGGGGGTACTTTGGTAATTTTGGGGAAAACCCTAGTTGTTTTAATAGATTGATTTGTATAATTAATTTAAGGAAAATTGGGAAAAATTGGTTAAATTCTTGAAAGTGAGGAATTCATTGATTAAATGGTGTAGTTGGATAATTTAAATCACACGCCTATCGAATTGTTGATATATTTATTTTCAGTCTAGAAATAACTGTTTTGGGCTATCGGTGGAGGATAGTCGTGTTTGTTGTAGACATTGCATGTGGATTAGGGAAAATTGAAACTAATCAATTTGTTTAAGTCATAAATTTAGACTATTGAATTAATACAGAAATTACATGTATTGATTGAGCATTGCATATGCATATTGTTTGGGAGGAGATAGGGGATGTACTCCACGGTGTAGGGGAAGATAGGGGATGGACCTCTAAACCAGATTTTTTGTTTGGGAGGAGATAGGGGATGGACTCCATTAGCACCATTTTTATGTGTGCTTATTATATTGAAGTGTTTTTACATGATTATTGATACAGCACTAAAATGTGTATCAAATGGGAAGTATGAAGTGTTTTGATATGAGCCTGAGTCTCATCTGTGTTGTTGATATTGGAAGTAATGTGAATATGATATATGGTTCACTGTTGTAAGTTTGGCCAGGTTCTGAGCCATATTGATAATAATGGGAATTGAAACATGTCATAGACATTAGTGTCATGAAACGGTATTAAGTTATAATTGATTATCTTGGTTAACCATCTATTGAATGCTATAGCTTTATTCAATGCTTATATTTGGTTTAGTATTTTTCTGCTGGGCTGTGGCTCACCCTATATGGGAACATCATTTTCAGGTTCAGGTAATAAGCTACCTCCAAGGACTTAGCTTGGAAGGATTTGACTTTTGGATTTTGAAGACTTCTCTTTAGTTATTTGTTTTTATTTGAGATTACATGTAAACATTCAAGCCAAGGGCTTAACTTGTAAATGAGTTAGTACTCATTTTTTTGTGTCCAAGTGTTAACTTGGAAAGATGTAAGCCCTTAGGGCATTTATTTTAATGTTACATGTGATGTCTTTCAATAAAAGTACTCTGATGAATAACTCAAATGATTCGTTTTCTTTTATTAATGCATGATAATGTTATGTATATTATGGGTTTAATTTGAGGGCGTGACAAAAAAAGTTCAGGTGAGGGAAGGTTATCTCAGTCCAGGGTTAGGGCAAGTCACCAAGGAGTACTACTGGTAGTAGTGGGAATCGAACCTAAGTCTTAAAGACGAAGAGTCTGATCCTTACCAACTTAACCAATCCCCATTGGCTGTTTTACTCAACTTTAAGTAATGCAAATTGATAGCTATTAATCACAGAAAAATGATATACAAACATACTTTATAGACCTATTTTCTAGATCGAGTAATGTGTCAATAAGATGATTGATTAATGATTAAAGAATAAATGAGAAAGAGAATTGATTTAGATATTTCAATAAAATACCACATCATTGAGTTTAAAAAAGTAGGTCTAATTTTTTAATCTAAATAGCAATACGCATCTAAATAATATGACACATCATTTTTGTAATAATATTTTAAGAAACAACATAAAATGTGTCAATTAATAAGTAAAATAGAACATTATTCCAGAAACACGTCATATTTTTTTCTTAAAATATAATTAATCAAAATAAATAGGGGAAATTGCATTAGTGGGATAGCAAAAAAATATTTGCATTTCTTGGTGGCTCAAATTTTCTATGTGCATGGGATAAAGTGATAATCAATTTTTTCTAAAGGAATGTGAATTCAATCTAGTGGTACCCCATTTTTTTGAGATGTATTATAGAACTTTTCTAAATTATTTATATATTATACTTTTTTCTCAAACGTTTGCATCGCTTATAATGTATTTTGAATAATGATATTGCTATGTGATATGATCATTTCTTCCAATATTTAATACTATAATATTTTTCTTGATTATAACAAAGGCCCAGAGAGATTCAAGTGCCATTTTTTGGGGCATTGTCACAGCAAATACCAGAGTTTCTCTTAACTCACAAATGAACATAAATTAAGAGATCAAATCCCTTAATTACGGACATACATTGTCTTAGCCCGTAAATAGCATTTGATTTTTCCTTTTGTTAACTTTGAAAGTTTGGAAATAATTAGGCTTATTAATTTTGTTGTCTGTGCTGTTTAAGTGGTTGAACCGTAAATTTCATAGGTTTACTTGTATTTAAATTATTCTTTTTGGGGTGCTACAGGACATCAACTCTTGTATTAACTCATTAATTATTTAGGTTTACTTAAAAAATTCATCATTATTATTTATTAAGACATGCACAAAATGGATGAATAAATCAAATGACATTAACATTTGATATGTTATCACATGTAATCTAAATTAATTTTTTGAGAAATCGATACAGAAATTATGAAAATTGTACAAACAAACTTGTTAGTCACCAGGAAGATTGGCGAATCAGTGAAATGAAATCTAAAAATTCCATAAACCAAACATTATGTAGAAAACAAAAATCAAATTAATAAAATGTAACAACCTGTATATATAATTTCACTTTCACTAAACCTGAAATACACTTATGTATATATAATTTAGGCACACACATCACACTTATATTGGAATAACAAAGTATTAATGACACAAACTAATCAATCCAATGTTATTGTAATAAAACCAATGCTTTTGATTTGAAAAGTAAGCCAAAAAATAAAAATAAAAACAAAAACCACCCTCACAAACATCTAACACACAAAAAGAAGTAGGATCAAATTGACCCATTTCAGTGAACCCAAAACACACGTAAGAATAATGAGTTAGTATTGTTCATTAACAATATTATTTAATGAGTTAAGTAACAATATGAAATAATATTAAGTCATTAATATTATTGTTAATATTATTAATATTGTTAATTAACGTGTAAGAATAATGAGTTAATATTGTTAATATTATTTAATGAGTTAAAATATTATTTAATGAGTTAATTAACAATATTATTGTTAATTTAATTAATGAGTTAATAAACAATATTATTTAATGAGTTCATTAACAATATTAACTCATTAATTTTTAACTCATTTAATGAGTTAACAATATTATTTAGGACATCATTAAAAGAACAATATTATTTAATGAGTTAATCAACAATATTATTTAATGAGATAATTAAAAAATCAATCATTAATTAACAATATTAATTGTAATAACTCTTGTATTAACTCATTAATTAATTATTTAGGACATCAACAATGATTACTTAAAAAATTATTCTTGTATTAATTATTTAGGTTTACTTGTATTATTGTTGGATTACAATTAATGATTACTTAAATAAAATTCTTGACTCACAAATAATTGTTATTGAATGAGTTAAAATCCATATAATTCTTTTAGAAGTAAAATCCAATATAAGTATATTGTTGATATTTTAAGTTTTTTGTTTCATTGAAGCGAGTGTATGGAGAGTGTTCCAATTATCTTCTACTGGGGGAAAACATAATTCGGGATCCCGATGAAGGTGTGTCATATGATGCTGAGCCGAAAGGGATATATGGGGTGCAATTTGGCACCACACTTAACAATTTGGAGGAGATGTTCATGTCCAAGCTGGCAAGTTACGGCAAAAGTGTCCGATTGAACTTCAAATGTAGATATACTTATCGCCAGTGGCAAGCAATCAGCAGACACAAGACATTATCGATCAATGACGATGAGACATTGAATACCGTATTAAGTATTGCTGCAAGTTTCCAACCACCAAATTGTTTGGAAGTGTACATTGATAAAGAGGTTGTACGCAATGTCCTGAATATGAGACAAATGGATTCTCGTCCCTTCACTACATTGCTTACACAGGGGATTGACACGATAGCGTTTCAATCTCCTATGTATGCATCAGATCAATGTTATTCAGTGGTCTACACACAACAGACATTTGAGGGCCATGGTGTGGAATCAAGTTCGCGTGGTGGATATGATTATGAATTTCACAATAACACAGAAGATGTGCCCACCTGCAGCCA